TATTTTTAAACTTTTAGTTTAAAAATGATAAAAAAACTGAACATCCTGCAGTATTTTTACAGTCTTTATTTTACAATTAAAGTATATGTTTATCTAATAAAGTCTAATGTTACAACTAATCGGGGATCCCTTTAAATTAGAATTAACATATATTAAGAAATTATGAAGATGTTTTTAATCAAATTTTGAAAATAATATAATCCATGAACTTATGTGATATAAGTAAAGTTGATTGAGTTATAGACATTTTTGTAGAAATTAAYGGGGTCATGGCATCCATTTTGGATTGGATGGACTTCAAAACTGTGCATAAAGATTAGTGGGGCAGATATTCATTTCCTGATTAAATAACAAAATGAAGAATACAAGAAAAAATATTTTAAAAAATTGACACGACTGCAGCTTCAACCACTGACCTACCACCACAACACAGATGTCAAAGATTTGGTTCAAAAAGTTCCTACCATTCTAATGAAAATGTCCTGTTTTGTCCTCCCTTTCTTTTCAGTTTTCTGTGTTCTGTTTATCCAGCTCTGTCTGCTTCAAATAGATTTTTAAACAGCACATCTCCTCTGTTGGACAGGTTATGCTGCAGTTCTTCCTGGTTTGATGAGCTCACATGAGGTCTCGTGGTTGTATCAATGTGCTAAAACCAGCAGAATGTGTCCTGAGGGTAAAATATTTTATGCCCAAATGAGACGTTATTGGAGAAGCTGCCTGTTCCGATTATTGCCAACAGGGGTATATTGATTAATATAATAAATTTACTGGCAAACACAGGGCTTTGGTTCCACCCCATAACTGTAAATACTGTAAGTAAAAAACTGACAATGTATCACTAAAAAAAKCTTTAAATTCCATTTAAAAATGTCTAAATAATTGAAAAATTCACAAAACAACAACAAACTAAGTAAATAACCAATTTACATAGTTTTTTTTTATTTTTTAGAAGGAACTCCCATGTGAGGTGTATGATTATTTTAGGTGAGGTATTGCCCCGCCTGCCCTTATGAACCAGCTGCCTCTGCTCTAAAAATTGTTCAGTTATAGATATAGTTACCCTTATTAACCATTATTACCCCCAGCTGAAAGGAAAAGTTGATAGTTTGGTTATTTTATCAGTATTTTTCATGATTGAAATACCATGCCACATCAGAAAGATTTGTTTTGTGAAGTTCTATGATTTGACTGCATGAACCTTCTGGCACGGCATCAGGCTTTTCTGGCTCCCATCTGACAGACTGGCTTTGTGTTGCAGATGGCAGTCCACTGTCCTGGTGGCTGGATCGGGAAGGGGAACGGAGGAGTTACTGGGGGGGCTTCCTGCCTGGAGTCCAGCAGTGCTCCTGCAGCCTGGAGGAGAACTGCATGGACATGAACTACTTCTGCAACTGCGATGCGGATAGAGACTCGTGGTATGACTCATGCCCAATTATCCTACATATTAATATGCAGTGGTGGGCACCAGGCCGCTAAGGCACAAATCCACTAATTGCGGACCTAAATATTTAATTTGCACTTTAACGATCTTACAAATTTTTTTAGTTCATAAGCGGATTTGCACTTTCTAAAATTAAAATGCAGTACTGCTAATAACTAATTATCTACTAGTCATCATTATCTTGATCAGCAGAAGGTACAGTATGTCTGTCAATGAATCACAACACATGATCTATCCAACAGCACCCCTCCCAGATAAACACACTTATTGTGATGGTATACATCCTTGCAGACTGTTGCTTTCGGCCACGGTTCTGATTTCCCACAAAATTTTATATGTATTGATTTATTTTACTTTACAATCGGAGCTCCTTTCTTAAAAAGATAAAAATAAAGTTTAAACGTTGGAGCTCGAAAGCAATCGGCCAACAGTGTTAGAGACTCAGAAATGATTTAAAGATGTTATGCTGGTGAAGACTGACATCTGGTGGTCAACTGGAGCAACTACATGGAAAATGTCCTAATCAAAAACAAAAAATCAATAGGTCCTCTGGATGATTCTTCTTTATCGTTCTTTAAACGTTTCATCTCTCCTCCAAGAGACTTCTTCAGTCTGATG